AATATGCAATAATTAGGATTAATTCAATTACATGTAAGTTCATACCATATCACTTCTTATATTTTAGTTTTATTTAATAATTTCTATCTGTTCTTTCAATCTAGAGTCCACTGAAGATGACACAAAACAATGTGTCGAAACGTATGGAAAAAATAAAATTGTTTTAAAGTCATACAAATTTTTTAATTGATGTATTGCCCTGAAAACTGAATATCACATATTTCAACATCAAAATTATATAAAAAATTTAATATATATATATATATATGATAAAATACGAAAAATACGAAAAATTATAAAAAATGCAATAGTGTTGACAAGTTAGTTGTATAAATGTTAGTGCCCAATCTCTAGTGCTGTGTACACTTCTCTATATGTAACCAACCAACGTCATATCCACTGATGATGACATTAATTGAATGTCGAAACGTTTGGAAATAAAGATTATTTTATAAATCTTTGGCTTTTCTTTGTTTGATGTATCGCCCTCAAGAACTCACTCACATATTTCAACATCAAAACTAACTACTAATCATATCTATATAATATATATATATATATATATATATATATATATATATATATATTATGATGGATGAGTTCTCGATTTATTATTAATTTGTGTTCGAGTTCCGAGTTGAAGAGTGTTTATCTTGAAGTTTTGGATGCTCCATCTTCAAGTTTTCTGCCATCTAAATGTCAATATAATCAATATAATGATAAAAATTAAACGTATACCACAGACAGCTCTATTATATTGGAAGAATTGATTGCAAGTATTTTTACTTTGTTACTGTTTTAACAAATTTGTCAAAAATTATTATGATTATAAAAACTCTTATAATGAATACGATTTATTACCTTATTACTTTATGATAAATGTGAAAAATGACCTATATAATTAATGAAATTAAAATGGATTACACTGCGCGACACTAAAATTTTTACCTGAGATGTTATGATGGTTTTGAAGTAATTCGAGGACGCTGATTCCAAAAACTAACTAACAGCTCTTGTTTTTGAGATATGCCAATGTTCCTGTTTTGTCTCAAATCACAATAAAATATACAACTTATTTTATTTTATGCCTTCAAAAGTCTTTTCATATCATTTTCGAGCGTGGACAAGGTCTGACTGATTTTGTCGTAAGCTCCTACAATTGTTAGCCAATATGTTGAAGCCCCACCTTCCTTGATGTGGCTCTTCTTAAGTCCTGAGTCTTGGTGGATATTTTCGCCCTGCTCTTCGCTAATATCTCAACAATTTTCTATAATCATTAAAATATCGATTTACAAATACCATTATTCATTATCTTTTTTTTATTCTTATTTTGTTATAAAATTCATACTTTCGTACCTATTTATTATTAGTTATTGGGGTATGTGTTGTGCAGCTTCTTGTTGTTGGATTGAAGATGATCGGCGAATTTCATGTTTTTTATAATAATAATAAGAAATGGTAGTCTAGTATGAAAGCACGACAAATCAATGATTTTCTTTACGACACTTGTATATTATTTCCATTACCATTTTATTACTATTGATCACTTTTTATTCATTTCCTACCTTTTACTTCCCAAACTGTTTCTTCCATGCTTCTGGTTTTTGCTTCGGCTTTCCGTTTTTGGTTTGTGCTCAGTAGAGTTTTTTCTTTGCCCACTTCTTCAATGGTTGCTCTTCTCAGCACTTCTTTATTGGTTATTTTTATTATTCACGTTATTGTTTCCATTTAATTCCAGCACCACATTTTCAAACTCCAGATAGTTTTTGTCGGTATTTCAATGAGTCCATGTCTCTGATCCGTAAAGTACTTGCAAAGATGTTTTATATGTGCATATAGTATTTGTCAGAATTTAAAAATAGACATATCAAGAAAAATATATAAATGTTCAATTACTTTATTTAATTCCTTTTAAATTCTTCCATCAAAATTGCGACACCTAGCCAGTAGCCAAATTTTAGCCTCTTTAGCCAGTTTGACTAAATTTTCTATTTTCATATTTATGATCTTTCAGATTTATGTTTCGATGGTTATTATCTGTTTCGGTCATACATTGCTGATTTATTTTATGGCTAAATTATAATACGTGATTAGTTATGCGCTTCTACGAAAACATTATTCGAAAAGATTTTGAATATTGCACAATAAAAGTAACTGTTTTCTAATTACGCACTTACATATTTTAGTACCATTGTCATTAATATTGCAAGATAACTGTATATTAATAGATGTGTTTTTAACACTATTAGGATTGTCGTTTTACTTGTCTTCATTTTAGTAAATTCCTGAAGGATGTCATACGATTTTTTTCATTTATTTAAACATATATCATAGTCATATCCGAACTGTGTGCTGTCTTCTTAAATGACATGGCTTTTTATACAAGGCAACAGAAACGGTTGTCTCATCTCCTAGGATGTAATATTACAAGTTCTGGAAAACTATTGCTATCTCTAATTTCAAGTTAAAGTCGATGTCGCTTCTGCTTGATATCAGACTGTAAGAGGCGGGTATCGAACCTGGATTTCATAGCTCTCAGAACCTGGTCTAGCAACCACTAGTTTCGGATTTGTCATTCATCTTGGCTAGATCGACATCAAGCAGTAGTAATATCAGATTTTCATTTAAGATTATGATATAGATTCGATTCAAACATAGATTCAAATATGATGAAGAGAAAACAGGTTATCGGAAAAATATCTAATATAATATAATCAGAAAGAATATGGTCAATCATTGAGTTGCTTTCTAGGAACACTAGGTTATGAGATGTATCTACATCACAACAGTTATGTATTATAAAACACATAATCCTTTTGATTTTTGTTCAAATATAAAGATATGAATTTTAATAAATGTAAAATTGAATTCATTACAAGTTATAAATAGATACTCCATTTTAAATTATATAAATTACCAGTAGTGTTAGACTCACCTCTACCACCTTGATATGAAGCAATAGTCGTATCAGATTTTCGATTGAGATTATAGATCTAAAATATATGATGTTAAGTAAAATGTTAATTAGTAACGCTATTAGAAATATATTTAATACTAGCTGACCCGGCAAACGTTGTTTTTCCAACTACGGTATATTCCAAACAATTTCTAGAGAATCAAAAATATTAATATTTTAAGTGGATAAGGATGTATTATATTGTTTGAATACTATATACAATGAGGTATTATAAAAACAATAAACCCCATTAGTTTGTCTATATTTTGTCAACACAATCAAACTGGAAGTTTTATACACTTTCTATAGAAAACATAGTATAATCCAATCTAAGTCTTTTTTGGTCTTTCGACTTATTGATTACGTTTCAAGTTTTTCAGATTCTTTTTGGATTCTGGATTTTTTGTATAATTATAAATAATACTACTGAAAAAAAAATCAAATTTCTGCGAGGAGAGATAGAAAATGAATTAAGTATTTCTTCTTTGGCCTGCTTTTTGAAAAGTTTCAAGTAACATTCGATGAATTAAAGTAAATTTAATAAAAAGTATATATGTAGAGCAGGGCGAGGCACAAAGGTCGAATTTGACTTTTAGCAAATATAAACTATATTGTAAAAACCAAAACAATTATATCACAAAAAATAACATATTTCAAACGAACAATTATCTGACCACGTTCAATAAAACTGCCAGCTACTTCATTATTGTAGAAATGTGCTTTTCTGATGTCTTATAAAAATTTGTTATCTAGACCTTTTTACCCTATAGACGGGGTGACTTGGAACGGCCATGTGGCAAACTGGTTTGTCTTATTTTAATTTAAAATGTATTTTACAAAATAATTACATTTTCAACTAATGGTAAAAAACTACCAACAGAAAAAAAAACTTTTATTATGGATTTTCAAAGATTACAGTTTAACTCCCGGAAGCAAAGTCATGTGAATCAAGATTATACCTGGTTATACATCTTTTTCCCTCTACTTTCAAATATTGTTGTTAAACAATGCTTAACTTCACTGGTTTTTGACACATCGGTGGTGGACCTTTTTAACCCCGGACCTTCCTATATTACTATCTATTCTTCGATAAATTCTGGGAAATTATAACTGGGAAAATGTTATTTGACAAAATGGCCCCTTTGATCGATACCAAATTTAGATAACATAAATAAAAAATAATATAACCGAGAAAATGTTTTATAAATACCAATGAGTATATATAATTATACAAATGAGATCTTTCAGATCACCGTGTTTGAGAAACATATGATTTGCAAAAGAGAGTGCTACAACGCCAAAAAATGCATTTTCATATTATCATTTCAGAAAAGTTGATATTTTTATGCCCGTTTAATAACGTTTTAGTATAAAAAAAACCTACAAACAAAATCACTTACTACAATTTAATCATAATTAAATAATATTCACGTAAAACATCCTATTAAACGTAATTGAACATCATCTATCAAAAACGTTTGATATTTGACGTATTAGCCACCGTCCATTGTTTTATTTAAATTACCCTTCTACAAAAATTTTCAAATTAAAAATATAAAGTTTCTAAGCAGTTTCGAAATAATCTCACCTTTCCGATAACCTGCTAATTAGCACGAATTTTTCAAGACTAAGACTGGCCAAATCAGTTTAGCCGTTTTCGAGTTTTAGCGGATCATTTTATCGAGCTCCATTTTTATATATAATAAGACAAACTCATCGGAAAGATATTGGCCAACCTTCTAGAAACAGTTATGGAATGTGCATCATAATAGATCAAGAACACACTATCCTAATTACTATTCAAATATAGGAAAAATCGTGTAAAATTAATTTGCTAATTGAATTTATTTGTCTTCGAATATACTGATTCCTGATTAAAAATGAAACAATATTTATTACTATTATATCTCATTTAAGCCCAGTTATTACTTTTCTACTCGTTTATCATCACGTTTCGAAATGAGTGATAACAAACATCATTCCATGAAATAGATATTCTATCTATTTCCCTACACCTGTATGAGTTCCACTCAGGTGTGTATGTGCAATAAATAAATAAATAATTCGTTTGTATTCGTTCGTAAGCTCTCAGGTAGTTAGAGCTATCTCGATGTACTAACATCAGTTCCAATACGAATCTTATTAGACGAACGCGTGTGCGTGTGCGGTTATCTGTTCGGTTTTGTGATCATGTGAGCCAATAATTGGATAAAAGAAATTTTTGTTAAAAAATTATCGATAAATGGATGTGATGAGTGGAATAAATTGGAAATAGTATAAAAAATTGTGGAGTCATATGTGTAATCTAACGAATTGGTGATAATAAGGCTCTGGTTAATTTTTTTTTAATATAATTAGCAATGGAAGAAAAATAGTTAGGAAAATTTTGGGAGTAATATAATAAATATAAATCTGATTATAATAATCTGAAGGCGATGTTGTATATTTTTAAAAGTACTATTTTGAAATTCAAATTAATTTGTTCGTTTTAATTACAGTTATTTATATTACTAGAAAGATAATTTTGATGTTTTTAATTGGTCAGAAAAAATTGAAATTTTAAGAAAACGAAACCACAAAACTTAGCTTAAATTAAACTTATTAAAAATTTCGATTATTTAATAATAATGCTTTATATTGGTTATGATTGCATAGAAAAATAAACAGAAATTTTTAGAAAATCAATTAAAAAATTTAAACTTAACCTTAACTAGCTATGTTCTTGTTTTGTTGGAATACATTATTTAATTTAACTATTCAGTAAATTAGAAGCCATATAATAATGATTAATGATTAAAGTACATTTTACTAATCTGGACCAAACTTAGACAATATATTATTACACCAACATATTATATTTTGATTATAGAAGAAATGATTTCCAATCCATTAAAATTCCAATTTTTAAATAACTTATTTTGTCGATTTTTGTCACTATTAATAAGAAATGTAGTAGAGGAAGGTTGCCTGAGGTGGGTGTCGAACTTCAGATTGAATTCCATAGCTCTAATCACTAATCCATGGAGGACCCAAAAGGTTATCCAATTTGGTAACCTTTGATAAAAACTTGGTCTAACAACCATTGTTTTCTGGTTTGACATCCACCTTGGTCAGCTTGATGGCAAGCAGTAATGATATTAGATCTTCTCTTGAGATTAAAGATCACCAATAATCATTAATATGGGCCGAACTTGGATTATTAAGGCAACTTAGGTCTTTTGTTTTGATGACAGAAGAAAAGTATACTATACATTAAAATTTTCTAATGTCACTCATACAATTTATTTTTCACTTCAAATCGTATCACTATTAGCGAAAAATATAATAGAAAAAAATTCATGTAATAATATAATTTATAAATTTAAAAATTTCTTCTTAAACTTGTTCGATTTTACGTAACAATAAAATAAGATTGTGAAACAAGAAACATCAAATTTTTTTTTTCTTGAGACCTTTTTTATATGACTTTGATTTTGATTTCTAGTAAATTATCTAACCTTACGATAAACGATAAAAGTACTGAAATATGAAAAAACATTATCTACGCCTATAATTAATCTGCCGTAATACTAATTAATTCTAAAATATTAATCCTTTCCATTCGGATGCTGCCGCTCCGGCGACAAAATACGTGTTAATTCTGCAATTCGCGAGTGAAAAGGGTTAACAACTATATACAGCAAATTATACAATATCTTATATGTATCCTTAAAGTCCTCTCATATTGTATCCACTCAAAATTGCAAGACGACTACCAATATCATTCTTTTTTTTTCTTCTCGTTGTTTTATCTTACAGTAAAATAACGAAGCAATTTCAATCGATAATATGCCTATAAATAAGATTAACTTATATAGACCAATGAGGATAAAAACATAATGAAATATATAGTCAATATTCACAGCCATGAAATTGTATGCAATTTATTTATTTGACCGCGAAAACTATCTATGATCTAAATTTAGAATCGATTTAGTATCGATCATCTTGAATTCGAAGAAGTATATATATACTTCTATAGTTTTATTTGAACTCGGTTTGAATCATTAAATAATATGATGACCATAATTAGTTTAATTGAATTTTTTAATTTTTTAATTTTCTTATTTTCAATAACTAAGTTTTTTGTGTTTTTCTAGCATATCTTTAGTATCGAAATGTTAAAAATAATTTTTGAAATTTATTGTTTTTATTTCTGCGGATTTTCTGCTAATATTTACCAATAATCTTAATGAAAAATAATGGATTTTAAAATTGTGGAATAGTTGGTGTAATTTATACAATAAGTATATATTTATTAATATTATATCTTTTTTAAATTTTTTAGAACATGTTTGATACACGAATATTTACGCTAGATACTATTATCATTTTTTACGATACTAATAAAATTTGCTTGATTTACTATGCAAACATCGCTATGATGAATATATAAATTCATATACACTTTTATGTTATAAATATATAAAAAAATAGAAAAATCGAGACTTAACTTCCGTAGGGTAATTTGTAGTAATCGCAAAAAAATCTAAAACGGTAATTTTTTCATACCTTTACTTTTCAGAAATTTCTCGACATTTTGGCATACCTCAAAAAAACGCATGTATGTGTGGCGTGTGTGCTTGGGTATGTATGTGTGTATGTAGTATGTATATGTATATGTTTGAATACAATTATTTGTTCATGATTTCGGGCGCACGGATCCACCGATTTCAATTATTTAAAAAACATTATTTTTTGGCAAAGACAGATCCAGTTGTTTCGAAGATACCAGGCAAAAAGTGTAAACATGGCACTTCTGAGAGAACGGAGTGTCCGATTTGATTAATTGAAAAAGCATATAATTTGTATTGAAAGGCAGGACGAATGGTTTCGGAGATACAGAGGAAATAGTTAAGGACATTGTCATATTGCGGCAATGATATACATTGGTCACATGGATATGAAATTATTATATATTTTAATAATAAGCGCGGTTTTTTCATTTCTGTGTTCCTCATCAAAGTTATAATATTTAACAGTATGTCTGCGGCGCAGCGCTATCGCGCTTTGATATATAGTTTTAAAAAACACCTACGCAAGTCGATATCGCTATCATTTTAAAGCAGGTTTATGGGAAAAACTGATTAGTTTTTTAATATGTCTGGTTTCAAAATTTTGGAAAAAAATTAAAATTTACAAAAAAACACCATTTTCAAATTTGTCCAAATTTTCAACAATTTAAAAATAATCAGAATTTTAAAGCTTTCCAAATTTCAAATTGCTGGAGGTTTCAGCACTTTAGGCACGATGCCATGCATCACTAGTTCTAATCAATTATTATAACTATTAACTCCTTATTGGAAAAACATACCAAGTGATCTAAAATATGTTAGTGATTTTAAAAGTCTATAATTATTTAATTTTTCTAACAGTGAATTGTAATATTCTGTTACCACTATTTCAAAAGAATTAAATTTTTTTATTAAATTGTAAATGCAAAATATGAGCACGTTTTAATTCAATAAAATGAATTTTTCGAGCGCATTAAGTTTATAAATGTATAAAATATATAAAAAATCATGCAGAAACTCTTTAAACTATTGATGGAATTTATAAACATGGTCTTAGAATTGTTGGAACATTTGGTGCATTATTTAGATTTTATGCATTTAAATTTTAATTTATATATCTACACACATTTGTATATTCACATACATTTATATATTTATACACACATTTTGAAATTTAGAGTTTATATATAGAGTAGGGCGGGGCACACAGGTCCAATTTGATTTTGAGCAGTTATATTGCGAAAACTAAACTAATTTTCTCACAACAAATAACACATATCAAACAAACAACTATTTAACTATGTTCAGTAAAATTTCTAGCTAATTCATTATTGCAGAAATGATTGTTTTTGCCAGTTTACAAAAATTATTACCTACTTTTTATATAATAAGTAGACGGGGTAAATTCGGATGAACATGGGACAAACAGATCTAATGTGTTATTATAAATTTTGAAGGTATTTACCGAAATAATAGCTACATCATTCATTATAGATACATTGCATCTACATCATAGATAACATTGCATATAACCTTGATCTGGTATTTCGTCAGCAATATTCATAAGCAGATTTGGAATAACTATTTATTTATTTCTAGTAAAATTGTTTTTTATCAACTCAATTTACATTTTTATTCACAATTTTTTATTGTTTACACCTTTCACTGGGTAAATGTTCAGTTGGTTCTTTGTACCAGAGGGAAAATCTGTTGAATGTAACTTGTAAATGAAAATACAGCTTATGAAACAATTAAATTACGCAATCTTAAAAATTATATTAAGATGTCGTCAACTAAACAGCAGTGCTCATAACCAAAAAACCAACAACATAAGAAAATACTTTTGATATGGATTTTTAGGCATTGCCGTTTATCTCCTGGTAAGAACGTCGTAAGCATCAAGGTTATGGCTGGTTATACATCTTTTTCCCTCCACTTTCAAATATTATTTTAAAATTGTAAACTTTACTTGTTTTTGAGATATCGGTGCTGGGCCTCATTACCCGCGGACCTTTAAGACCTGCTCTATCCTGCATATATATATATATATATATATATATATATACAAATTACCTATGTTCGTTTGCATATAAGTATTGTGTGTGCATTGAGGAGTACATGGTAATGAAGTAAAAGTTTTTTTTTCTCGCAGAGAAGCGCGTGATGTCGACTGTAAACAATCTGAATGCATCTAATTAGAACATAATTACTACTGTAATTATCATGTACATACATACATACATATGCATATTTGTCTTTGTATTTGTTCAATATTGAAACAAATATACATAAATGCATAAACATAGATATTATGTATGAATGAGATTTCACAACGGAATAATAGAAACTGTAAGCACGAATTTCCAATCGAGATGGGAAGAAGATTATTAATGACAATATCAAATTATTATCTAATATGCAGATTAGATTTCATGCAGTTCATGGAACTTAGCTTAAGGGTGTATTCTAGTGTAAAAAAAACTAGTGGTGTATGTCATCGTGCCTTAAGGCAATTTGCTGGAACTTTCCATACCGAAAAACATTTTTTTTAAACTTTAAATTTTTTTGAAAATTTTTGAAACATTTGATTTTTTTTTATTTAGAATATTTTTGAAAATTTTGAACACTTTTTTAAAGCAACCGCGCTGCATAGCTAATTAAGAGTCGACATATCAAAGCGCGTAAGCGCCGCTTAGTCGTCCAACGTGTAAACATTGGTACGGAACCCATATAAATGTACACACAATTTTTACTTATTATTATAATCTTTATAAAATACCTGATAATACGATGTACATATGTCTAATAATTTTTGACAGCCAAATAACATTTTTTTTTTTTTAATGGATCTCCGGAGACGCTGGCTCTGCGTTCACAAAAATGGCCCTGCCTTCACCAGTTGTTTATTTCATCAATATAAGTAAAATGTTTTTTAAATTATTCAAATCGGGCGCTCCGTTTTCTAAAAAACTGCTGTTTTTGCACTTTTTGCCCCGTATGTTCTAAACGGCTAGACCTGCCTTTGCCAAAAACTAATCAGCACGTCTCCTTATCAGTAGGAATCGAATGCTTTTCGAATTATTCAAATCGGTTGATTCGTGTTCGTGGAATCGTCGATGCAAAATTGTATCCGCATACACATACACACGCACACACAAATATACATCTATTTTTTCTAAGGTATGCCAAAATGTTCAGAAACCTCTAAAACGTAAAGATATACAAAAATTTTTATTTAGATTTCTTGCGATTACTATAACTTACCCTACGAAAACTAAAAAAAAAAGTTTTTTTGTGTGCATATTTTTGAAGATTATCTATTTAAGTCAGTATATCTATTTAAGAATACATATGTATATGAGGGGATTTTTTAAAATTCAATTTATTTTTGGAGATACAGATGATTCGCTTTGGTAATGCTCTTTTGTTTCCTTACTTTTGGGAAACTTTAAACGGCTTTCTCTCTGTCTTTTCAATACGGTGTCTACGACTTCTCGAGTTCTACTAAACCTATTCAGTGAATAAGTTTAGTAGAACTGAATAAAATTAAAGTGAATAGTATTCATTTTAAACTTTCATAGAATCTTCTGTATATACTCCTTTCTGGCATATACTAGTCTCTTCCTCAAATTTCAATTTTTAAAATATTCGTGAACCCCGAAAATTGGCAAGCAAAATTATCCTTTTCTTCAAACAGTCGCCAATTTGTCAGATTTTTTTAGCTTAATTCTAGTATATGCCATTGCGACATCATAATTATATATTTTTTTCATTTCGGATTATTGGGCTGAAATCGTGGCATGATTACTTGTCAATTTTTTGGGACCCTCCACTTCAACTACTGCTAATTTTTGAAATTATTAACTTTTTTTCTTTAGTTTTGTACTATTGTAACATTGATGAATAAATTATAAAAAATAATAGTAAAGAAATTGATTGCCTCTTTTTTACTATGATTTAAAAATTACTTATTCATGCCTCTAAGTCAAAATGTCACTGATACCCAATTTCCAGTTCGAATTAGATTGGATTTTAGGTACGGAACTTTAGCATGTGACTTTGGCAAAAAGATAGAACATGTTTTGATTAGAACAAACACTATCAGTGATAAGATATTTTTGTGTTTTATTACGCTCTGATAACGATTTTATACTGCCTTTATCAGGAGGTGGATTTATACTCTTATACGTAATATGTATATATATACGAGTATATATATATATATATATATATATATATATATATTCATCAATATGAGATCATACTTTTTATCACCATTATCTAATTAGCAAAGTGATAACAACAAAGGTATTGATTTTTTGTCAGAAGTATTTTTAAAATACAAGTTGAGAAAAGCATTGTTATTTTTATTGTTCTATCGTCAAAAACATATTTATTATAAAATATTTGATTATCATTCAAATATTTTCCTAAAATTTTGTTGTAATTAATAAATAACCGAAGTGAATTCTGATTCTAATAATTTTATAGAGATTTATTAAAAGATCAATCTGGTTTTTAGTGATTTTTAGTGATTTTTCCTAAATTGTTTATAATTTTGTTAGGATGCACACATAAAATTAAGAAAAAATATACAATTAAATCGTTAGTCTCATATTATAATACGGGAAATAATCTCATAAATAAAAATAGAAAATAACAAATTTAAAACAACTGTCTACAATTTATATTCATTTAATCTAGCTCACATGTGATAACTAAAATTAAAGAAAAAAACAGCTATTGGATATTACTATGCTTCCTATCAAGATTTAACCAAAATTCAATAAAAAATTTCAAAAGTGAGACAAATTGTCTTCATTATTTTTTTGGTATCTATTTTCTATGCCATCTCGCGACGAACCGCCAGAAGAAATGCTTACATTAAGTTTTTGTGCGTGGATGATCAGTAGATCTCTGCAAATGGGGTTGCCTGACGAAGTTCAAAATCGTTCAAACGAAAAGTCTAACGAACAAAAATCAGAGAATACCGAGTTCAGACCAAATTTGCTCAAATCTAACTCGCAACTTGTGATCTCCAAAGATTCTGGAGGTCTGACCAAAGTATTAGACAAAACTGGCGCAAGTACACCTAAAATTGCAGTAGAAGCATCTGGAAATGGATATGTTAAAGATAGCAAATTGGATTTTGAACGGTCTCAAAGTTATGATGCTCAAAAAGCTAAAGAAGTTATGAAGGGAAATACATTTCAAGGCATTAGTAAAAAGACTTATCTAGATCAAAGTATATCCACACCTAATTTTCTGGATGAGAATGTTTACAATAAATTTATGAAAGTTGAATCAAAATATAAAAGCAGCTCACAGAATTCTACTGATGGCCCAAAATTTTATGAAGGTGTTGGTTTGTACAAAAAAGGAACAAGAACTTCTGCCAAAAGCTTTGAAAAGCCAGACAATTTTTCTGAAATTAAAAACTCATTCGAAAGTAGAAATATAAGCGTTGGAAGTGATGATGTTTTTTCTAAAACTCCTGTGTTAGATGACATACAAATTAGTGCTGGTACTTTAGTAAAAGACTACGAACAAAGATCCAAAAGTGAATCATATGTGCTCAAAAAAACTGAAGAAAACTGTAGAGCTTCCGATGAAACATCAAGAATTATTGCTTTATTTGAGGCAAAAGCAAAAAATGATGATGGCAAGAGTATTGCGAAAAGAGATATTGACAATTCGGATAAAACTAATAGGATTTTTAATCTATTAGAATCAGAATCCAAACATAATAAGGCTAACAGTCTGCCAATGGATCAAAATGTTTTAAACCACGATGTATCAATTGATATAACTAAAGCAGTTGATAATTTAGAAAAACCACCTAATATTCTTAAAGATCTTTCTGAAATACAAGTGGATACCAAAAAGTTAGCAGAAAAGTTTGAAAATAAGTTACCAAATCAGGTAGATAGCTCAGAGCAGAAAACCAGAATTATTGAAGATTTTCCTAGCGAATGTATTAACGCCAAGAAATTAGCAGAAAAATTTGAAAATAAATCAGCAAATGGCGTGACAGTTTCTAAAAGTTGGGACGCCAGTTCTTGGAAGGCATTAGCAAATGATAGCATTTCAACTCCTACAGATCTTTCAAAATTAATTAAGAATTCTGAAGCAAATGATGACAGTATTGAATTATCACCTCATATTGGTGCTTCAAATAATAAAAATATAATTGAGGCAAAGGTTATAGTTAAGGATCAATTGATACCAACAGATACCACATCAACGCATTCCGCTTTAGAAAATGATCATTGCCAATCCAAATCAGAATATACAAAATTTGAAGCTTTGCGTAGCAGGCAATTTAATGCGTTGTCCAACAGACAAACCAAATATAAAAGTTTTAATGCCATACCAGAATCATCTTCTAGTGTTACAAAACCAGATAATGTACAAAAATTGAAGAGTAGTTTCGAAAACTTAGCACTTGTCGGAAATGACCAAAAACAAAAATCAACTGTCAAAAATGATTCAAGTTTTATGACACATGGTGATCATACGCAATTTCAAAATGTCATTAACAGTTCTGTTTCTAAATTGAGCAGTAAATTTGTGCAACCAAAAAAGGAAATGATAAATTAGTTTTAAACCCCGCAAATAATTTGGTCGACCATGTGCCGAAAAGTACGAAATTTGTAGAAAATAGTGAGCAAAATTTAACCAGTGGTAAATTAACACATTCTGAAAAAATTACATTCGATGTTTCTTCTTCAAATGAAGTCGTCCCCAAATTTTCCACATAAGTTGCAATCAAAATCAGGCGAATAATAAGAAGTTCTACCAAAGAACAAGCTTATATTTCCACAATTAATCAATATCAGGATGCTAATTTGGACCAAAATTATCATAAAGTTCAGAATGACCCTATGGAGATCAAGTTGACCCAGACTTAGTGAAGAATTTGAAAATCAGTTTCGAAAAACCTAACTTAACCCTAGATTTGGCAAAAGATGATGATCAGGTAAAGAAAGAGGTTGAAAAGTGGATGTGCAAACCATAGCTGATTTATTTGAAAAATCGAAGATCCCGGACAGATTGCAAAAGCACACTGATCACTTAGAGGGATTGAATTTGCATCAAGGTTCTGTAAAGTATATGAAGAATAATTTTGAAAAAGCAACATCGCCAGTTTCACAAAATCAAAAAGCAATTTCTGAAAAACCTAAAACTTCTTTGGTGCGATCCATGAGTGCAAGATATGAAAGAAAATCAAAAGGCATGGAGGCAGATCTTTTGGACATTGATGATTCAATATGGAATACGGTTACGGACGGAGGCGACTGTATTGACAAAAATGTGGCAAAGGATGAGAAATCTGGTGAAATTAGGGATACTGGTGATAAAATTTTTGGTGAAGATGAAGTGTGCACAGTGAATGTTAAAACAGCTAGTAAATATTTGAAAATTTCAAGGAAACGAAAATGATGGGTGTAAACTTGATCGACTGTCGATATGGGTGATGTTGTGGATTCCTTTGAAGAGGTTAGTTTCATAAAAATATAAGAAAATTA